TACTTTGTAATCCACAATTTGGGATGTTTTATACTTTGTAGCAAACAAAGGTACAACTTGTTTTATTTTCTCTAATCTCAACCCTGGAAACCAGGGAGCCAAGTTTTAGATTAGGAAACTCGTGTTTACCCCCAGGAGCCAGGTGTTGCAATAGCTATGTTTTTCTTTTTCTTTTCCTAAGAAAGAGTTTTAGATACACTGCAATGCAAAAACATGAATTATGGGAAATGACTGGTCCAATGACAGCAGTTGACTCTAAGCAGCAAGAGAGGGATATCACAGGGCAACTTCTATTTTCTGCACTCCTGCCAGATTCCATTCATGATAACAATGTTCAGCTAAAGCAGAAAAAAAGCCACAGAAGGCCTGGTTGGGTGTGGTCCGTTTCCTGCAGGTAGGAGTTTCCAAGCAGGCAACTCTGAATCACTGGGAGAAATCACCCAAGTAGAGAGTACAGTGAGTACAGCGGTATGTTTCTCAAGAGATCAAAGGACTCCTGACTCTGGCTCTAGGACTGAAAAAATACATACACTAGAAAGCAGCAGCAACTACCAACAGCCCCACTTCTTCAGCAACTACTCACACTACATCTAGAACCAAGGTCCTAGAAACACACAGTTCAACTGAAAAGCAAAGTCAACCTGCATCAAAGGAAATAAGTAAGCTCAGCTCCACTCCAGCAATAAGAGAATAAATAAATGAAGGACTATAAATAAATGAAAGACTATAAAATGTTCATTGAGAGGTCAGATGACCAAGGCTTGGTCAGCCTTGTGAAAAGGTCCACATGGGCTAATCTGCTGGCACGGGGACCTCCAACCACTCAGTCTTCTCGGCTCCTACTCTCACTACCCTGAGGTTCCTTTGAGCTAAAGTACTACTGCTGCCTTCCAAACTGGCACGCGGCACTCGCCAGAATCCAACTCCTTCCACCATTTCCTACCACAATGGCCCTCTTCCCTGGGCCTGAGATGCCCCTCCTCTCCCAGCCCTGAGAACCAGCTTCCCAACCACAGCTAGCACCTCAGTTATTCATTTGAATCGGGCCACACTAGGCTGCTGAGGTCCTGAGGACAGGCCCAGAGGGGTTTCTCACCTGTACCTGCCATGGCTGCTGACAGCACACTCCACAGACAAATGTGCTACATGAACTCAGGCTCCCCACCTAGCTCAACGCTTTCCGACACTAGGCCCAATTCCTACAGTTCAACATTTCCCTCCAAGTGCTTTCAGAACCTACATCACAAATACCCTCATGTCCACACTGTACATGCCAACCTTTCCCCACGGTGCCAATGGTAACAGGCTGAACATGGGGAGGCCTCTTCCATGGAAACAGGGAAAAAACTACGGAAATGTGACACTAAGAGGGAAAAATAGGACAAGAGCACTTAAGCCACAATTAAATGCAGCTGTCCTTCTGTTTGCCTTCATTTCCCAGATTTTGCAGAGCACACAGGTTTCCCCAGGGTAAGCAAGAGCACTTGAGAAAAGCTCCCAATGCATCCAAACTGGCCATTAAATGTCTTTCTCGATCTCCCCACACAAAGGGGCATTCTCAGGCAAAGGTTCCCCCAAGCAGCGAGAGAAATGGAAGGATGATGCTGACCAGGAGGAACTTTCCGTTTTCTAGCCATGTCTACACTTTGAAATGTGAGACTATCCTATACTTATGACATCCTTAAAACATGCTAATTGAACTTAGGTCAAACTTAGGTCAAAACCACTCAGCTGTGAAATCAATTTAGTGTTGCAACCAGTTGTTTTTGTGTGTGTCTTTTTAAAATAAAATACATCACACAACTACTTCACAAGTAGGAAGGATTAGGACTATCTCCTAAAACTTTTGTTTCAGGTGTAGATGTAAAATATATTTCTTACGGGGGTCATGGCCCAGAAAAGTTTAAAAGTGACTGATAAAATTCTGTAATAGAAATTTATAGACCAAATCTAATTCTTTTTAAATTACAATTTATGCAAACTATAAGCTGTTCAGTGCACTTGCCTGGAACTGATGCTTGATTTTCTTTTAATCTTAATTAAATTGAATGAAACGCCACACGTTCAATGAAGGACAGGGTGTAGTTAAATCCACAAATCAACCTATTTCTTCATGTCTCCTTGTGGTTACTACATTCAGTTCATGATTTCTACACCCCCTTCCCCCCACCCCTCATGTTAATATGAAACTGAGGTGTGGGAGGTAAAAAGGAAAGGCCCCTGGCAACCTCCATTAAACATTTATTTATAATGATAAGTCATTCAGATTTACAGCCATCAATCACCTAGGCCCTGGCACAAGACTATTCAATAACAACTGATTGAATAAATAAAATATCGGTCTTAACTTCTAATTTCTTCAGCAAACCCAAGTTGGAATGAAATAAATGTTAATTTCTGCAAAAGTAATGATAAAGCAATAATACATCATGGTAGGGAGTATGGCCTTAAAAGTAGAAAATAACCTGGTTTCAAGTCACAAATTTGCCACACAACACTATCTCACCTTCATCAGTTCAATGAGGCTCTGCTGGTTTCCACACCTAGATAATGGCATAGAGATACCTACGCTTCAAGTGGTACCAGTAAGAATCAAGAGGCATAAAAATGATTTGCAAAACAGTGAAAAATTATGTTTCTACTAAAATGTCCTTTCATTCAGGTTTATTTTTTAAGCATCTCTGCCTAAGCTGCCAATGCACGCTGATGCCTTTCTGAAATTTTTAAGTGAGCTCCTTATGAGCCCTGGTCAGGAGACGAGATAGGAAAAAAAAGGAAGGGGCATGAGATGTATCAGGACAGGGCACAGGAGGGTTAGTAGTTCTGTTTTATCCTAGAGAACAGTCAACGCCAGGCGTGCCTGTAACGTAATCCTCAACAACTCTGAGGAAAGCCTCCCTGGGCAGCTGCTAATGCAAAGAAAATAAATGTGCTTGTTTTGGGGGGGGAGGGAGAATGTTCTTCCCCAAATGGCACACTAAAAACAACTATACAGTTTGTAGATGTAAATACAAATATAGTATCAAACAGTTTGTGGCTGTAAATGCTGGGATGACTGTCAGAAGTCACCTTTGCACTTCTGACACTGTAACAGCTGCAAATTCGGTTGTTTTAACCAAATAAAAACTCATCAGCTTTTATCCTGAAAAAGGAAAATAAAAACCGCTCCCTTGTAACATTATGTAGGAAATACACTATATTTATTTGAGAGGCAAAATTGTTAAAGGAAATTCACCTTCTTTGCCCATGATTTAAAAATGTTGGTCCACGCTTGAAGAAAAAAAATTAGGACAAAAAAAGTCTAAGACCTGATACCACCTGGTACAGGGCACCAGCCAGTGGGGCTTTAAGTACCTTTTCAAACTGACTCTCTTTCCACAAAGGCTGAATACCTCGTGCGAAGGGAGGCATTTGTGCTAGATTGCAACCTGATTAACAGCGTAAGTCAGTCTAACAGGAAGCATTTTTTTATCATTACAAGAGGGCCTTCTTGCTCTGCTGGTCAGAAATAATTTTTCACCCAGTTCACCCTGCCTTCCCATTCAAACCAAACCAAAGCAGGAACTTTAGGAAATACCAAGAAGCCACATCTGATTTTCACCTAGCAGTGAGGGGAAGCTGAGTTCTTAAATCCTGTTGAGTTTTAAAACTCTTTAGATGAGATTCAAGGGCAGTTTTCTTGAAGCACACTCTTCAGATACTAACTTTAACTGCCGCTCCTTTAAAAAAAAAAATTACAAAACAAACAAAAAGAAAACCTTGGACTACAATTCTGGCAACATGATGTTACCATTTTTCTATTTCAAACCTGAACGGTGAAGTCCAGGTTTCTTTTTATGCTTTAAAAGAGAGAGAAAATGATCTGCTGGGCAGAGAACAGATTCCCGACTTCCAGGAGGTCGGGTCCCAGCCCTCAGGAGCGCAGGAAGGGCGCCTGGGCCGGCAGATGCCTCTAAGAGAAATAATCCGCTGGGGTACTGCGGTGGCTTCCTTGGGCTCACTCGCTAAACTAAACTGGGAGAACAGAACTTGAAGGACATGCCCTAACTACACGGAGATGTCAGTCCCCATCCCTTGGCCACCACTTATACACGCTGACCAACGTGACACATCAGCCGAGGATGGTGATTGTGTTTTTTCAAAAAGGCCAAAAACAGCCCCCGAAGGAGGAAAGCTTGGGTGCATCCGTGTATATTAGGAATTCAACTCCTCCCCCCCAAAAAGTCACCGGCAGGCCAAGAGGCCACCCAGGACCAGCGGAGAGGTGTCCCGGGGAGGAACTCGTCTGGATCCCATCCAGCCTCGACGTCCACCAGCCCAGCGCCCCGGGCTCGGCGGGTCAGCCCCGGCTCGGGGCCCACGGGTTCCTGCTCCCGGTTTCCAGGCTCGCACTTTCCCGGCCGTCGGCCCCGGAGGAAACGCGCGGAACAAGCGCACTGCGAGCGGGGCCGGCAGCTGCACCTTCCTGCACCCCACCCTCCGCCGCCGCCCGGCCCGGACTGGTCGCCGCGCGCCCCGGGCTCCCCTCCCGCCGCAACTCACTGCCGGCTCCTCGGGAGGGGAGGGGAGGGGAGGGGAGGGGAGGGGGCCTCCGCCGCCCGCCGACCCCCGCCCCCCGCCGCGCGCAGGGCCCGGGGACGGTGCCGGGGCCTCCAAAGGCACTTCCCCCCGCTCTCCCTCCTCCCCAGGGGCTGGGGCCGCGCCGGGCCTGCGCTCGGAGACGCGGGGGGCAGAGGGGAGCGCGGAGGGCGAGGCGGCCCGCACCCCACCGGCGCCCCGCATCCCCCCCACCACCACCACCGCGACTCGGAGCCAGCGAGGGCCGCCTCCAGGCCGCAGCCCCAGGCCCGAGTGCGCGGCGCCGCGCAGGGGCGCCCGGGGGGCCGGCGCGACCCCGGAAGGGGCGGCGTGGGGGCCGTGCGGACACCGCCAAGTTCCCCGCTTCCGCCCCGGCCCGCGCATCCCTCCCGCCTCCTCCCTCGGCGCCGGCCCCTGCCTACCTGCATGCCGGGCAGGCCCGACTGCACCGGGGAGTGCGCCATGGCGCTCGGGACGGCCGCTTCCTGGGACGGGGCGGCCGGGCCGCGGCGATTCGCGCGGGCGACCAGGCCCGCGGGCCACGCGCAGCCCTCGGGCGGCGGGGGCGGCCGGCCAAGCCCGAGTGCGGCTTCGGCGGGGCCGGCGGGAGCCCGAGGCCACCGCAGCCCCCGCGGGTCCCGGCCAGACGGTGGCTCAGCGGCGGGGTCCGGCGGCGGGCGGCGTCTCCATGCACGGCGCCCGGGGCGGCTGCGAGGGGCGCGGGGCCTCGGCGCGAGCTGCTCGGCGGGAGCCCGGCGGCCTGGAGCCGGAGTGGGCGCGCACAGACGGCCGAGCCCGCGAGCGCCGCGCCCCGCCCCGCCGGCCCCCGCGCCCGCCTCCGCGGCCCGGCCGGGGACCCCGCCCCGCGCTTCCGGGAGGGGGAGGAGGCTCCGGCCCCGGCGCCCTAGGCCCTCCGCCTGCGCCGCCGCCTGCCGGCCTGGCACGGACCCGAGCGTCGCTGCGAGCGGCTCCCGCCCCCGGGGGTGGACCGGGAGGAGGGCGCTGGGTGCGGGGAGGGGACCTCAGCCAGTCCGCCCGGCGCGGGGAGGGGGCCTGGGCTGGGCCTGGTAGAAGCTTAGGAAGTCTGGCCGGGCAGGCGCAGGTTCCTACCAACTCTTACTCTGCCATCTTCCTCCAGCTCTCCAAGCTAGCCCCCCTGCACCGCAGTCCCCCTGTCCGCCTGCCCGGGGCATGGGCTGGGGCGACCTCCCCTCCCCCAGCGCAGACTGTGGGCCTGGAGACCTCGAGGAAGAGTGCCTGGCCGGGCGGTGCAGAACTACCAGGGCAGAGCTGCTTGGGTGTCTCCGTGAAGTTTGCAACCGACCCAAGGAGGAAACCGAGAGGGAGAGTCCGGGAGCTGTGGGCTCCCAGCGCTTTAGCCACTTGAAAGCAGCCCCGCTTGGAATGCGGAGCGGTGAGGCTGCTGAACCCCACCGTGGCCGGGTCGCTGGGCTCCTGTTGGTCCGAGGCCCAAGCGTCCACCACGAGAAGGAAAAAACGGAGGGAGGGGCGGGGAGGAAGGGAGGACAATCGAAGGAAACGTGTCTAGACTTTCCCCAGCCCTCTCCCTCTTTCCGCTGCCTGCAAAAGCTCTGCCTCCACCTTTTAATCCCCTGTTCTCCAACTAGAGGAAAGAAATAAAGGAGTCCGTGCCGTCTCTGGGAAGTATCTATATATTTAAAAGCCAAGCGACCTGAGTGACTGGTCACTATGACATGCACTGTGGCCGGCTAGCAGGCCGGATGGGGGTGGCTACCCTCCCGCGTTTCCTCCCTCCAAACACCACCACCACCACCACCACCACCACCACCACCACGGGCTGCCCCGATCTAGGCCGGGGTGGCCAGCCAGACTCCACCTGTGCAGGAATTCATGCACCAGGCCTCTAGTTTTATTTATAATGACAGAACAGTAGCCACTGAAATAATCTGTACCTCAAGTTTTTGGGGCCCTGGTATCCCCTCATGCCCATGACTGCCCATGTTGCACCATTGCTGTGTGAGACTGGACATAGAAAAAAATGAGCCCCCAAGAGTTCACAGACTGTTGGAGGAAACTCTAAAAAGTCCTCCACTGAGATAAGGCGTGTTTATTCTCTGAGGTGTCATTGTACTCGGAGAATTTCATTTTCCTCCCATGCTCTGGGTCAGGCAAGGAAAGGGGTGCTAAAACTTGAACCCTGCTTTCCCTTTTGAAATGTACGTGTTTTCTTCAGGGTTCTCCAAGATACCTTCAAAAACCTTCGTGGTTGGTGGTGGTACACTAACTTCACTAAAACCTGCCAGCTCCAAGTACTGTGAAGGGAGTGTGGTAGGTACAAAGTTGAGAAAAGCATGAACCCTCATACCTAGGAGTTCATCATCTTGTGTAAATTTTGTGTACTTAGAAAACATAGATGAAAACAAAACAAGCAAGAGCATGAATATTAAAAATGTTCATAATCTTCATCCCAAGAATCCTGCTTACAGTAATGTGTGCTAAGGAAACAACCAAGAAATGCATGAGAATGGATATAAAAAGATGCAATGCAATGATACTTATAATTATGGAAAACTGGGAACAGATTAAAAGTCTAACAGAAATTGTTAAATGATAATATATGCATCAGTTAGTACTACATAGTAATTAAAATTGGTACTTCAATATTTAGTAATATGGCAAAATACCTTTATGTTGGTAAATTCAGGGTACAAAACAATATGTAAAGCCTGATCTCAAGCTACTTCATCTATATATATAAAAGTATATAAAAGCCTAAGCGGCCATTGTGACAGAAAAACTGTAATGACCAGTCGCTATGATGCGCACTGACCACCAGGGGCCAGATGCTCAACACAGGAGCTGCCCCAGCCCACAGGTCCCAATCTCCAATAGGGCCTGCCGGCCAACCTCCCAGTCTCTCCCCCCAGGCCGCCAGGCCCCTGGGCTGGGATGGGGAACCGGGGGTGGGTGGCAGCAGACACAAGGGCAGTGAGTGAAGAAGGGGGGGCGGGGAGGTGGGGAACCATGTAGTGGTGGCACAGGCAGCAAGGGAAGGAGGAGGCGGGGAACCTGATCGGCCCTGATCACCAGTCAGGCCTAGTGATCCCACATGTGCACAAACTTCATGCACTGGGCCTCTAGTGTATATATAAATTTAAATATATATCATTTATAATATGTGTGTAATTTTATGTGTACACATGTAAACAGAGAAAAACCTGGAAGTATATGCACCAAGATTCAGCAGTGGCTATCTCTGGAATTAAAGATGATTTTTTTCTCTCAGTAGTCAGCCAAGAGACCATCAGGATAAGAGGTTTCTCCTTAAGGTTAGCAGGCAAGGCAATAACAGGGCAGCAATATAAGGAGGGAGAAGCAGGACAAATGGACAGAAATGTTTGGGCACTGATCTGAGGCATTACCAGAGGTAACTCAAACAGTGGGGCCTATTTTGCTGTGGGTTAATTTCCAAAAAAGAAGCCACAGGGGGATTGGACCATAATACTCTGGGTATAAAAAAGTAATCCGAGTCCCTTTTGGCATCCAGAGGCTAGTGAGGTTCAGAACATGTGGGTTACAGTGGGATATAATTTATCTGGACACAGTGACTTGCATTCATTAGCTGGTCTGTTTCCCTACACCCTGTTTAATCTCCTCACCATAACTGAACTTCATTTCCTCTTTTGGCCATATTTATACTATCGAACACCATTCTCCTTGAAAGAGAAGCAGCAAATTAGGAGTTACTGTTGCACTCAGTCATATTCAGACATTACCCAGTAGACCCTGGATAGTGACTCTCTCTCTTTGTTCTAGCAGAGCAGAAATGATTGACAGGGCCCAAGCCCATCATGTGGTCCTGCCCAATTGCTCATTATATTCATGTATACGCAAATACATTTTTTGAATGCCACCTACATGACAGACATGTATCTGGTTCAGCGTTGGGCATATAAATACTAGATTCTCAGGTGCCTCTTATTCTGTCCTAGGGATATGGCCTCCCAGAATCCTAACTTAAGAATTTTATAACTCAATTGATTAAATTTAGTCACAATAGCTATATTTCTACTAAGGAAAGAAGAGGTTTATCCTTTCTCTTCCTCTTGTCCCTCTTCCTTTAACCCTTAACTTAGAAGTACAACAGATCATATACTACTGTAATAACAGAAGGAGAGATTTTGAGGGTCTCTATAGAGAGTATGCATTTCCTAGTCTCCATGGAGACACTAACCCATGGAATTATTTTCATCCATGGCCCTCTTTGTTTCTTGTGTTGACCTAAGGACATAAATTGGGCAATGACTTGTGCTCTGACACATATTTGGGACCACAAAGAACATTTCCATAAACCTATGTAAGGCCTTCCATATATAGAACCCTGTGTTTTTACTTCCCCTAAGCCAGCTCATAGCCTCCGCAGAGCTCAGAATGCAGCCAAAAAAACAAGAATTCAACAATCAATCTCTTCACTTCTTCTGAGTTGAAAAGATAAACACCCCCAAATGCCACTTTATAAAGAACAGCTAGACAAGTAGCACATTAGCAATTTAAATTTACAGATTAAAGAAAGGGACTTACCCGGTGAACTTTAAAGAGAGAAATATGAGTAGCTTGGATAAGTAGCTAACAGAAGGCTTGGCAAATTTCTACACATGTTCAGCAGGTGAAGACACAAAAGAGGAAGACAGATTACTGAGATCAGTAAAAGAAGCATGGCTAGTCATACTTAGATGACATGACAGCAAGAAAATGTGTGCTGAAGCCCTCAGAAAAGGTCCAGCTACATTGTGGAATGATGAAAAGGCAGTTTCTGTGGGAGTGAGACTCAGAGCACAAACTCTCACAGCAACATCACTATTAGAGAGTTCCATGGGCGGGGTGGCCTAAATGTCAGAAGTTTATCTCCTCTCAGTTCTTGAGGCTAGAAGTCTAAAGTAAAGGTATCAGTAGGGTTTGTTTCTTCTGAGGCCTCTTTCCTTGGCTTATAGATGGCCATTTTCTCTGTGCCCTCACATAATCTTCCGTGTGTGTGTGTGTGTGTGTGTGTGTGTGTGTGTGTGTGTCCTGATCTCCTCATCTTATAAGGACACTCACCAGATTTGACTAGGGCTCACCCTAATGATTTTATTCAACTTAATTACCTCTTTAAAGACCCTATCTTTAAAAACAGTCACAGTCTGAGACACTGGGGATTAAGACTTCAACATATAAATTGGGGGGCAGGGACACTCACTCAGCCCATAACACACCCCTTTTACTGTATATGTATTTATGGTCAGTGCTCTGTAACTGGTTCCTCCAGGCTCAGCTCCATGAGCTAGCGCTTCCTTTCTCCTCTCCCAAGGCCTCTGGACCTTGGTACATACTTCACATTTCTGCTAAAAGGCATTGCTTCATATTTCCTTGGGCGTAGTCTCTAAACTTTATCTCCCATAGAAACCAAGGCACTAATCTCCAATCACTGGACAACTGAGTGCAGAAGCAGGTTAAATATTTCTAATTAATTATAAGAAGTCATCTGGAATACATGGCAAAACCTATCAGAAAAGAGTTCAGAATATTTTGCAGGGAGTACATCAAAAGTAATAAGTACGAATTTCAGCAAAAATGTTACTGCTTTACTAAGGTCTATCTTTCTCTCTAGTGCCTCCTTCACCCCTATCATTGCAGTTGGAGGTGAAATTTCCAAGGAGGACTGGGGTCTGAGATCCGCATGGGGAAGGGGGATTAGTTACACAATCTCAGTGTGGAAGTTCCAGAGGCTCACACTAGAGAAGTTTGGTCTGTTTAGAAGGGCGCATTAGAACAGGCTCACTAGAAAAA